CCTCCCGGGATGGGGCCTGTGGGAGCCCTCAGGGCATGCGGGACCCCTCAGGGCCCCCTTGGCGGAAGCGGGAGCCAGCCCGGCCCTTGGGCCACCTTTCCTCGGCCTGAGCGACGTTAGTCGTTCTGTGGCATCGTGAGCTCGGGTGCTGTCTTGTTCTGGGGTTCTCGCTTCAGCTGCCCGCCCTTGGGCTGGGTTCGGTCCCTCTGCCCGCCCAGAGCCTCCCCTTCCAGGGTGGTAGGGCTCGTAATGGGATCCGTGCCCACTCCAGCTTTTGGCCTATGTGGCTGGCAATGGCTCATGCCTCTGTGGGATCGCCTTGTGCCCACAATCAGGGTTGTTCACGTGTGATGCTGGGACAATTGCGAGTACCAGATGTTCCCTATCAGTCTGTTGGCAAAGCTGCCCTGTTGTTTGCTTTCCGTCTGCGTAGCAGAGGTTTGAAAAGAAGGGGTGGAAAGTGTTGAAGGAGCAGGGAACAGTGTATATACATATAGTGATATATTAGATGAAAGGAAGTCATGGCATGGGTATATGGTATGTATATGGAGTGGGAGAAAGGGGCATGCCTTCCTAGGTGTCAACACCACTGAGCTCCCAGTGACAGATTGCTGTGGCATCTCCGTGCCTGTTGCTCCTGTCTCTCTGAAGAGAGGGATTACGTATTAATTATGTGCCGTGTTTTGGAGGGTGTGGTTGTTCCTTCTGGGAGAAACTTGCTCCAGGAGGCTTTGCTTGGTGTCTCATGTCTCAAAGTGAATGGGAAAGGCCAGTTGTTGCAGAAGTAGTTGCTGGCAGCTGTTGCTCAGAGCATGATCCAGAACTGAAGAATGCTGTAGACGCTGCAGGCTGTCATGTCGTAGTCTGACCAGGACACCCGGTTTTGTGAAGAGATCACTAGGAATGACAGGCAAAGCAATAGGATGAAGTTCAAGTGTGTTAGGTGGCTTCAGAAGCTGCCCTGCTGAAAATAAAGTTTCCAGCAGTGCTCTCCATGATACACTTTAAGATGGCAAAGATGTTCCCAGCTCTCCTGTGTGAGTATGCAAAGGAACGTAAGCCCCAGGGTGGTTGTTATTTCTGCCACTTGAGCTTTTCCCATGGTGGAAAGATTAAAAATGAGGAGCACAGGGAATGAAACTGGTGGGGAAAGTAGCATTTAGCTATTCTTGTACTGCACCACTGAAATACAGTGTGCAATTTTTTTGGGGGACTCAACCTGTGAAAACTTTAAATTTTTACAAATTTAAATAATAAATGTTAATTAACTACCCTCAACACTGGCAGGGGATGAGTTTTTGGAAAGAAGAAGGCCTGAGCTTGTATGAGTGTATGCAGAGTTACTGTTTTTTTTTTTAATACCTATTTTTTTTCCTGTAGTTGCTAAGAAAGCAAGTAAAATACTGGGCCGAAATAGGTGCTGTCTTCTCCAGAGCATGGAGAAGGACATGAATGCGTCTTTACATGGAAAGCCCTCTCAAATTGCTTGTATTTCCTGGCCTGTTTTTTCAGTGTGTTTCAAATATTACACCTGTTTCTCCCAAGCCCTTGGCAAACCCCCAGTTGCAGTGACACAGTTTAAACTTCTCATGGGGTTGGGGATTCTCATCATAGACAGAGGTAGTGAAGCATAGATTCATTTTTTCCTTGCATTTTGCCCATCCCTGGCCATGCCTACTTCAGAACATCAAAGATTTCTTAATTTATTTCTGAATTACTAAGGGAGAATTAATCTTTTCTTGTGATCAAACTGATTCTGAACCTGTAAGTGGTTTGTGAAGTTAAAAAGGACAAGACCGACCCCCACCTGACTATGTTGTGACGTTTTTGAAGGCAAATAGGAAAGAAACCCAACCAATAAAACAAACTAGGAACAACCTTTGCGCTCTGTTCCCGAAATAAAGATTTTTACTAGATTTTATCATTGTTATTGGCTGATATACTTGGATTTACACTTCGTAAGAAAGGGTGCAGTTAAGAATTATTTCAAGAACTAGTTCACAAACAGTGAGTTAGCAGTTATTTAAGTGGGTGTGTGCATGAGTTGCTTTCCCACCTTTTTGTTTCTTGTCCTACTTGGACTTTTCTTTGCAATTCAGCGTGGTGACTTAAAAACTCAGATGGCTTTGTAATCTCTGGCATGCTGGAAACTTTACATATCAGCTTCATCAATTTTTTGGCGATAGGAACAAATGTGGCATTAACAGAACAGGAAAATATGCTGCAGTGGGATAATTAGCTCTCTGTGAGTGGTCTGTTGGCGGGGAGAGGTGGAGGTGTTGATGGAGATGCTCAGCAGTGGCAGTTGAGATGGTGCATGTCTGAGATGATCCCAGAGGTGCTTGGAGGGGGGGTTTTGTGGTATGAAAACTAACTTAGGGAGTTTGGGCCCTGGGAAGGGAAGCTAGCCTGTTAGAAGCCTACCTGTGGCAGTGTAACGCTGTTCTTTGTGTTCTTTTCTCAGCGCTCAACCACCTGTGGAAGGTCCTGACCAGATTGAATCAAAAAAGCAAAAAACAGGTATTGCACATTACAGAAATATTTAATCTGCATTATTTTTTTAGGTTTCAGGTACTTGAGCATTGTTCCCATAACTGGCTTTTCAAGCCATAGGCAGTGGCCTGAGGGTGTATCATAGGGCCTAACCCTCTCTGTGATGTTTCCTGTGTTGACTTTTACTGCCAGGAGGAGATAGCCCAGATCTCTCTGGCCTTGAGCCCATACAGAAAGAGTAATTAAAGCTGTGTGTTTAAATCAAACCTCTATTTGCAATGTACCTCTGTCAGTTAAAAATACCCAATTGTCTTATGAGAAATCACTTAGAATGTAGGATGTAAAGGAAGGTGACTTGGAACTGATGACAGGCAGAGAAAAATGGTATTTCTGTGAGCCAGTGGGTTTACGGGGGAAAAAAAGCTGAATTGAAAACACAAGAGTCAGTTTAGCCTGAATCTGAAGAGTTTGGCACGTGCTTTTAAAAAAGATAGAGGAAGCATGAGTAAAGAAGGATAAAGACGCAGCAGAGGCGAGGCACAGGCAAGAACAGCGGGACAGAGAAGTGCTCTCATTGGTGAGGCTTTCTCTGATACCCCTCTACAAAGTGTTTAAGGGTAAAACTATGCAGCTGTCTGCAGCTATGTCAGTGCCTCTGGATGCTGGCTGCAGTGATTTGAGATAATCATTTCCCCTTTTCTTTATCAGTAAAGAGGGAGAAATTATGCTCTTTAGGCTGTACAACATCTCCTAGCACAAGCTTGATGGGGAGATGTGGAGTTTCCTAGTTACTGCTTGGCAAAGGGTGCTGCCCCTTATTTAATGGTAGGGGCTGCTCAACTATTAGCGTGCTTTTCAGGCTACAGAGCATAAAACGATTGAGAAATATGTCAAATTGATAACTTCATCCCCTATCCCTCCTCCTTCTAGCAACATTACCAGCTCTTGGTAGGATCAATTCCCACATCTTAGTAAATAGGCCAAATCTGCTTCTAAGAATGTTGTACCATCTATGTCTTCGTCTGCTAAAATGTCATTCTCTTGCCTTCAAACAAATGCTGTTGTCTGATATGATATAATCTCTAATGCAGCCCCTTATTAGACAGCCCTGGCCTGCTGATGTTTGGAAATGCTGTCGGAGGGATTGCATGTCTCTGCTTCTTTAATACTTAAAACAACTTGGGTAGCTTTGGTTTCTAGACCTCAGTGAACAGCTTCTCTCAACTAGACAAGAGTTACATGGAATAAACTGCAAGAGTACATGCATATGTGGAGGGGATGAGAAGGATAAGTTGCACGCTGTGCTGCTTCTCCCAAAACAGGGAATGTTCCCAAAAGCAGGGTGTTTTTGCAGATCTGGCTGGCAGACTCATGGGTTAGTCTTTGAGCTCCGGCTCTGAAGGATTGCTCGGTGAGGCGACTAATACAAAATTCACCACCAACTGCTGTTGACAGAAGGGTGTGTAACTTGAAATGTGTTACGCTGCTTTAGGTGGGATAAGGAGATGGGCTTTAATGCAAATAGGAATCGGAATTCCCTTTTAAATCATGTTCTTATATGGCTTGTCTTAATTTTTCAGATTACGCCATCTCTGAGCGTAAAGAGGAAGTTGAAGAAGTTTCTGCTGCAGTGAAGTTGCCAGCCAAGGCAAAACATGAATGCCAGAAGGCTTCAGTCTGCAATGCCGATGGGATCTCAGAGTCTGCAGAAGAGGTTAGCAAGGTTTTTGAAATTCGGTAGAATCTGTTCAAGATGAAGGAAAAAGTGGCTCTCCCTAAGGCCTCTTGGAGTCGGGCCTGCCACAAGCCTGCCTTGTAGCAGGCATGTCTTGTGTGCTGGGTTTGCCTTACTCAGGTTTGGATACTTGGAGCTAAATATTTGTTGTCTTCCAGATACTTTACAGTTGTTCAGGTTTATAGTTTGAGTGTGTTTGTAAACTGTTACTCTTTTTCTCAAGCTTGTAATTAAGGAGTCAGAATACATTACCTTACCAGAAGAACTGCATGCTTCCTCTGGATAAACCTCCAGGAGAGGATTCCTGTAGGACTTTGGCTCTAAAAATGAGTCATGAACCGCTTGATGCCCTGGTTTGGTTTGAAGGTGTCATGTTATTTTTCTTACTGCTCCATCAGATAAGAGGAATAAGAAACTGTCATGCTCTAATATCCATTCCTGAGAGAGTCATTAATTCTTATTTGTATGAAATACGTTTTTCAAGGGTTAAACTATTACATTTTGGAATGTGTGGAAGTTGACCGAGGAGAACTCGGTGATAAGCTTGTATTGCTTTCATCAATGCATGTATGAGAGCCTGTATTAAAAAATGAAATTGTACTTGTCAGAGATTCTGCAGAGATTTGCATTCTGCTATAATCTAAACCAACAAATCATGGTCCCCAAGTCATAACAGAGCTCATTGAATTTCAGGAAGTTGATGTTTGCTTGGATTCACCTTCAAGTTATACTCATGTTGGTACTTTTTTTGTTTTATTTAAGACTCAGTCCACTTCTTCTAAGCCTTCATTTACAAGACAAAGAGGTTCTACTCCAGAAGTAGAAATGCTACAAATTGGTAAGACTGACATCAAGTTGTGAGCTCATTTCTGTTTCACTCTACCCTGTGTACTGTGCAGCTCTCCTCTTAGCCTTATGTACAGATTATTGAAGGTGCATTATCTAGGCAGCATCTAGGAATACCCGAGCATGAACTCTGCTTCTTCACTGCATCCTGGCGTTGCTTCTAGACTGGGGCCAGGCATTTATCTTGTCATCTCAGTACAGGAGCTGCCTTGGATTTAGTCCTTCAGTTCTGATATGTCCGCTGTTAGCTTGCCAGAAGTAAATTGTTTTAAATGCTAATTTTAGGCAGTGGATCTCGATAACACTTTTTTTCAGGTTTAGGCTCACAATACCTTATGTGCGCAACTTTCTGTAGTTGCCAATATGAAAATCTGTAACATCACACAAATAACATTATGATGTAAGAGAGAAAATGAAAATAACGTATCTTTGGTGAAGCTCTTTACTGTAAAGTCATAAAACTCTTCAGTTTCCTTTTATCATTACTGATGGCTTACTCTCTTCTCTCGCAGATAAAATGCCTTGTGAAACCAGTACTTGCTTGAAAGAGGAAACACTATCCCTTTCTCAAAAGACACTTCCATCTCTGAGGTAAAAATCCTTCTATTTTCTTTGACTTCTTCTCTGAAAGGTTTGCTGTCTTTCGCTTTCATTCTTGGAATTTCCTCTGTGTTGTTTAACATTTGTATCTGTGTCCCCATAATATTTTTCCAAGGTATTCTGGAGTTCCTCCAGGCTGCTGTATGAAGGGAGGTCTGCAGGTCTTTGTTGTTGTTTTTTTTTTCTTTAAAATTCTTCTTTAAATCAAGGTGCTTTGTAGACACAGGATATCAGATAAAAATTAAAGGTCTGTGTCAGGAAGAAGTGTTGAACTTGAGAAGAGACTGAGACCAGGAATGTCTGTGGAAAAACTCCTTAATAGTTAGTTTGACAGGAAAAAAAGTTTTAAAATGAAACAAAACAAAAACCTTTTCTCAAACATCTCAGCATCTTTGTGATGTTTGGCATCAGATAATTCCTGATTTGGTAAAAGGATGAGCCTTTAAATTTGCTTTTATTTCAGATTACTGTTTGGGGGATGCTGAGGCACTGTTTGTACACTTTCCTCAGAGTCAGAAATAGCTGGAAGAAGGAGGGAATGGGTTCTGATGTGATTTGATGCTATTGTTTGCCTTTCGGTTTCAAAATTGGATTGGTAGTCTTGTGCCTACCGCAGCTTGGAAATGCTATAAGGACAAAGTTACAAAGTCCAGTTGGAGGTCAGTCACTAGTGGTGTACCCCAGGGATCGGTGCTGGGGCCAGCACTGTTTAACATCCTCGTTAATGACCCAGATGATGGGACAGAGTGCGTGTTCAGCAAGTTCACAGGTGATACCAAATTGGGAAGAGTGGCTGATTGCACCCTCTGGATGTGCTGCCATCCAGAGGGGCCTGGACAGGCTGGAGAAGGTCAGACCTAGACAGGGCAGAATGTTTGTGAAGTTCAACAAGCAGGAGTGCAAAGCTCTGCATGTGAGGAGGAACAAGTACGTGCTGGAGCTGGAAAGGAGCTCTGCAGAGAAGGAGGGTGACAACAGGCTGACCATGAGCCAGTGATAGATCCTTGTGACAAAGGCCAGCAGCAGCTTGGGCTGCGTTAGGAAGAGTGTTGCCAGCTGGTCGAAGGATGTCATCCTTCCTTTCTACTCAGGCCACCACTGGAGAGCTGTGCCCAATGCTAGGCTCCCCTGCACAGACAAGATGTGGACTTACTGGAGCAAGTCCGGCGAAGAGCCAAAAAGATTAAGAGAGTGGGGCATCTTTCATATGAGGAGAGGCTGGGAGAGCCTGGCTAAGAGAAGGCTCTGGGGGATCTCATCAATGTATATGAACATCTGAAGGGAGGGAATGAAGGGGAGGGAGCCAGACTCTTCATGGTGCCCACTGACAGGACAAGAGGCAATGGGTGCAAATTGAAAACCAGGAAATTTAATCTGAACATCAGGAAACACTTTTTTACTCTGAGGTTGGCCAGATACCTAGAGAGGTTGTGGAGTTTTCCATCCTTTGAGATGTTCGAAAACCCTGTTGGACATGATGCTGGGCAGCCTGCCCTGGGTGACCCTGCTTGAGCAGGAGTTTGGACCAAATGATATCCAAAGGTTGCTGCCAGAATGATTCTGTGAGGAAAGCAGCAGCTACACTTGGGTGCCAATGCGCCAGCTTTTAGAAGAGCTGAGGGTTGGATGCTGTGGGTAACACACCTGCACGATCCTTTAGTCTTCTGTATTGGCTCAGGGCTTGGACTGCCATGGACATCATGTGTGCTCTGAGCGCAGTTGTGACTTGCAGATCAAACAACAGAGTATATTCAAGGCAGTTGTTCTGATTTTCACTTTTACTTCTCTGTACTTTCCCATTAGCCAGTTGAAGACAGCAGGTCTTCATCTGAAAGTCGTAAACTTCTTGTTTATGTCTCCATCGTCATCAGTGTACATGCTTTACAAAATAGTTGTTGTTGGAGCTTGAATCAGGAGGTGTGTATTTGAACATTCTCTTGATATAATTTCTGTTCCCGTTTATGTTTTTCTCACAAGCAGGAAGGGCGAACACCATGTCAGATCTGCTTCAGACACCATCTTAACACTGAGGCTGCCCATTAAGGAGCACACAGTGCCAGAAACTGCGACTTCAGAAGTCAGCAAAATGGGGAGGCTTTTCTGTACTGCTGAAGAGGTAGGTTGAGTGAGAAAGGTGTCCTTTGAAAAGAAACAGCTTAGCGGTTACAACAAAGCTGTATGTAAATGCTGAACTGACAGTTTGTAGCAGCACAGTTAATGAAGTTGAAGGAATACTTCTAGAAAATCAGCATATAGCATTTTATTTGCCTTTACATTCTTCAAAACTTGGAACAGAGCAGTGCTTTGTTGCCAAAAGATTGACTTTTAAACCCCGTTTCATGGAAATGGTGTACTGGGGTAAGACTTGCCAACCAGTTTCACTTGTAAGTAGACTGCCTTGTCACTAAGTGTGTATTTGTTGTAGAGTTGTTTTCACTGTTTTGCCCTTTAACACAGCTCAACTGTGATCTTTCACATAGCAACTTTAAAAGGATAATGTAGACAAAAAACCACTCAGTTGCTGATAACCCTTCCTTACAGGACTATCTGAGAGGTATTTCCCTGTCCTTCCAATATCTGAAGCAACTATTGGAAAATTCCTACTAACCCTAGCATACATGGGAGAAGGACTTATAGCAAAGTACTGGAGAAGCAGGCCATGACAAGCTGTGGAGCATGATTAGGATACCCTGGGGACTCACAGCACCCAGTCATTATCTATATAGACAGGAATGCGCATTATCTGAATTGTTATGCAAGAGGTGCAGATGACAGCTGGAGAGAAGAGGCCCCCATTTGAGGAAACAGTTGCAGAAATAATTTTGAGGTTTATAGTGACGGAAGTTCCTAGCACAGAGCTAACACAAAATGAAGGTGTGGGAATTCCCGCTAAAGTAAACTTGAATAATGTGCCCATATTTTGGGAACAGCCTGTGCAGGCTGTGCTATATCTAGATTACAAACGTTTGCTTCATATGTAGTGGTACTAATCAGATTGTTTTTTCCCTCTATTCTGATAGGATGTTCAGCGAGAAGAAAAGGAGAGATACAAACAACTCTTGAAACTACTGAAGAAAAACTATTCTAGAAGCCACCCTAATCCACAGCTGTCAAACTTACACAAGTAATTATCAGAGGAATAATAACCATTAACTTTTTGCTGGTAACTTTGTAGCTGTTGTATGTTGAAACTGAGGGGAATTGATCTTCCTTACTCTCAGGGTTCTGGGCAGTATCATTTTTAAGAGACTGACACCACCCTTCAGCTTCCTGTGATGAAGCACAAATATTTTCTATATGTATGTTCCAAAGGTGAAGATTCCTTTGTTGATACAGAAGTTTCTGATACTTCTTTCTTGTGTTAAGAAAGGTAGTATCTTGTTCTAGTGCTGGCAATGTAACTTCTAGTATGACCACAGCACTGGTTATTCTGTAGCACCTTTAAAAAAAAAATCTTCCTCTTGTTTGCAGTTGATGAGTTTCCCTTGGTCAGGAATCCTGTTTTATCTGAAAATGTGCAACTTAAGGTAAACACAGGGAATGCCAGAATTTTCTCTGTTCCTTCCCACTTGCCCCAGTCTTTCTTGTGCAAATTATAGGAAGTTTTCTCTTTGCAGTACACTAAGTTGTCAAAATCCCACTCGTGTAGAATTCCAGTTCCTAAAGCGACCTGCAAAGGGGAACTTGTGTGTAATTCTGTTTCATGTATTACCAGTGATGAGTATATTTGATGTCTTATAAGTGTTTGAAGAGATTGCACCAAGTTAACAACACAAGTAAACCCACAAAAATAATAGGACCCATTATTTTAGTAGAATAATTACACTTCAAAGCTGTGCAGAAGATGCCTAATTCTTGTAAAATAGTGATACCACGATAGTGCTGAAGTTCCAGCATGTCTTTCTACACAGTACGATGGTAGAAAATGCCATGCTTTCCTGCAGTTTCCTTTAAATGCTGTGAAACATGGGTTGTGACCAAGGCTTAGAAAAATCCCAATCTCCGCTCAGTGGTTCACAGCTACAAAACGTGTAAACACACAACTTCAGAATAGCGTATTGCATTTAATGTTCTGGTGCATGAAAAGAATACGGAAAACAGGATCTCATGTAATTTTAAGTGCACTGGTAATAGTGTTTTAGAGTGGGTCAAGCCTCTGCTTTCGGCATCTGAGCTCCCAGTTGTTGATTATTGTGGTTTGGCTCATATCTCAGAGCAGACCTGGAGTGTGGCAAATGGGTTCCTTTCAGATGAAGCTAAACCAGAGGGTGTTCCTGTGAAATGTGTCTAATGCACTCCAACTGCTCATGAGCATGGAGTCCCTGAGGTCAGAGTAGAGCAGGGCTGAACTAGGATGTCCCAGAAGTACGTATGTTGTGGACATTGCATTCTCTGTGTCTGCATAATCTTTAATGACTAGCTTGAAAAGAATTGGTCAAGGATGGTTGTCAGGAATGCTGTCTTGTCCCATAAAATAAAGTGGTCTCCTCAGATTAATCCAGGTATTTGTAGGATGTACAAAGAATACTTTTTAAAGAAAACAAAAAACCCAAAAACAAACAAACAAAAACCAGAAACAAAACAAAACCCAAAACCGAAACCAGACTAACCAAAAAAGCCACTGATTTGCTGGTGGAAAGGCAAAGGAATCAAATTTCTTGATTGGTTAGTTTCTTTTGAAATTCTGGAGACAGAAAATTTGACTCCTGTATCTCTAATATGCATGTGTTGAAAGTAGCCAAGCTTTGGAATGAAACTGCCTCCTTGGGGAAAAGTCCTTCTGCAGTGCAGAAGACTGGATGTTTCTATCGAGGGATTGAACAGCTTAATTTTACTTTACATATTTCTATTGCTTTAACTATGGCTTCCAACTCTAATGTAGAAGTTGTGTATGAATAAACTGTGTCCTTCTGAGTGGATTGGTATGCGCTGATAACAAATGCCATATGTTAAAAAGTTGATTCTTCTGTCATTTTTTTGCTGCACCAAAGTGTTCAAGCCTATGCCAAGGAACCAGTGATGACTGTGAGTCACCTGGAAGAACAAAAGTGCTCGGAAGATGCCTATTCACATGTGACACTAAGGACCAGTGAGTACCCCCATATCTGTTCCACTTTGTAGGTAGACTTCAAGTCAAAATAGGGCATTTCCTCAAATCTCAAAGGTATAGATCATGCTAAAAAGACTTGTCAGTGCTAATGCATCATTAATCTGTGTCTATTTTTAAGGACATCTGAATCGACCGGTGTGTTTATGCTAGTATAGCTTATTGCAGCTCTTAGGATGAAATGAGCTGTCTCTTGAAAGAAAGAAAAAAAAACAATGTGCAACACCCCCCCAGTGAATAGGTGGTTATGGGCTAAAATGGCTTTGTAAGGTTTTTGAAGAAGTGAAGAAGTTTGTTTAAATCTGTACATGAGAGCTACTGCTATAGCAGTGATGTTTGCAGCTGCAGCATACAGGAGAGCTTTGTGGTCTCTGGCCGTGTGTACCAGTGGAGGGTGATGTGTTACTGCGCACCCTTAGATGCCCATTACTTAACTCAGAGTTGCAGTTATGTGTTTACATCCCTTATCAATCCCTTTTTAATGCACCACATGACTATTTCTGTGATAGCAGAGCTTCAAGACCAAGAAAGGCAACTGCACAGTACCACTGTTTATATCAAGTTAGCTTCTTTTGTAGATCATCTTTAGCGAGTTGAAGATATGTAACTACTGAAGGGGACCTTAGTTGTCTTCTGCAGAGTGGGCTTGTTAAACTGGTTTGCTGACAAGCTATTTTCTTTTGTACCAGCAGTGTGTTATAATACCATGTGTTCGTGTGTATGTGTTAAATGTTGTCCCAGTCTTTTTTTTTTCCTGTTCATTACTTATAATTTTTCATCAATACTTTTTACATATTTGTGACTTTATGATGTAATCATAGAGGTTTTGGGATTATTTCTGAGCAGGTGCTAGAATTTGGGGAAAGCTTGTTTTGTCACAGAAAATGACGAGCAGGTCTTCCTAGCCTGGAGAAGCATCAGGTTTCACAGAAATCACTTGCTTAGTCAAGTGTGCAGTCTGCATTTTAAAACTTAATAAATGCCCTGCTTCAGCTCTCATACACTTGCACATGATAGTCAAAGCTCAAACTGTTTACCAGAGTTAGAACTTCCTAATCATATAGTTGTCATTAAAAGTTATTTTGTATTTATCACCCAGAAACCAAGAGCTACATACATCTGATGATAATTGAAAGTTCACTTACTGTTTTCATGTTACTGCTTTTCTGTGCAGGTATCCAATGTGCAGATGTTTGCAGCCCACAGTTGCCTCAGAGAAACAATTTGATCAGGTAGAGACTCTGTTCATCATGGTTACTGGTTTCTTTTGGCTCTGCGTGCATATCTTTAGCCTCCAGTACTGTCCAGAAGAAAACAAATCATATTTATCATCTAAGGCTGTGAAGGAGGAGTAGCAAGCCTGTGGCTCTGGAATTACTCACAAGCCAGTTGCAGAATCTGTTTTTGCTTGTGTCTTTCTCCCAAACTGTTAACGAGCTGACATTTCATTTCTTTCACTTTGAAAGTGGGACCCTAAGCATTAGAGAGTTTGTAAGCCTGGTGGGGCTTAAGCAGTTTTTGTGACTTATAGGGTGCCTTGGGTTTGAATATGAGACCCAAAAAGTTGTCTGCCTGTTTGAGAGGCTGATAGACTCATTTGTATTGGCTGGCTGGGCTGGCAGGACTGTGAATTCAGGTGGCTTTGTGGTGTTGAGGGAAATGGGGGTTTGGTTGCAGTAAGCGCAGTTATAGCGGGAGGTTTTGTATGGCAGTTTGATGCACACATCTCTCTGTGCTGACCTGCCCTTAAGTGAGAGAGGAGAAAGTGTAGATGGGAGCAGAGAGAGACTCTGTTGGGGCAGTCCTGTTTTTTAGCTAATTCTGTCCCTGTTCTCCCTGCTTTAAACATTAGTGCTATATCTAGCTGTGCAGCACTGTTCCTGTGCCTAAATTGTCACCAGTTCCCCTAAGCTTCAGGGGAGAAAAGAAAATAAAATAACTGATAGAGTATAATGGGTTCAACTAAAAGAAATATTTTCTTGCCTTTTTGGTGGGGTTTTTTTCCAGATTTAGCTACTAACTGAAGTAATTTGATGAGGCTTGTGGTATCTACTCTTACCACACTGGACTGAAAGCCTTTAAAATGCAATGAGTGCAGGATACCATGAAAGTCTGTTGTAGCATTCCCTCTTGAAAAAGGGAGTCTTTGATGGCAACGCACGTTCTTGCTGTTGAAGAAGGGACACATATATGGACAACTTTAATATCTGTCTATTTGTTTCCTCTTAAGAATCTGCATGGTTTTAGTGATAGTCTTCTCCAAATGGGGATAGTCAGTCTCTTGACTAGCCTATAGAAGGCAAGTAGGCATCCTGTTGCTGTCCCACTTTTAATTCAATGTGCTGATCCTAGTTTCCGTAAGCTAAACAATATTTGGATGCAAGTATAGTTGTAGATATTCACCTTATACCTCACAGTATAACACCTAGCGTGCAGTATTTATCACCAGTAGATCCCAAAGCACTTGATAGAGGAAATGCTGGTTGCTTCCCTGTTTTCCAAATAATGAAACTGGTGAACAAAAGGCATGTTGCACATGTAGATGGAAGAAAGTTTGCAAAGCTCCCAGCTCTTGGTTCTATCCCAGTCTTGGTGCTACAAAGGAGTGGTGCTGGAAGCTGAGACGATGTTGTCACACGTGTGCGCGCAACTGAGGCTCTACTCAGAATCAGCATTGAAAAAGCATTTCTTATCCAGAAGGTGAATTCTTGAGAATCACATGGGACAGTGTGGATACACAGCTCACTTCTCTGTTTCTGTCTCCCTCTTCTCGCAGGTACTACGCTCTACAAAAAAACTGTAACGAACAGAGAAGACCAGCAGAGGTAAGCTTGTGCTATTAATTATTTCACTTTTTAGGAAAATATAGGTATTTGTGATCAGAAACTTTTGCACTGTTTACTTACATCTATTGTTAAGCAAGTAATGAATTTGTCTCGGTTGTTTTTTCCCAGGGAAAGCGGGGGCAGTATTTGTTGAGTAGCACTATTACAAATGGTTTTCCACTGCCATTTATTTTGTTTCTGGACTGTTATGAGCACCCTACACTATACTATTTTTATTCTTTCCCTTTAATACCTTGAGTATAGCTTCAGACACTTTAGTGCTCAGACTTAGTTGACCTGCAGAGCTGGTCAGAGACCATTGGTATCTTTAGTTTTGTTTTGTGAGATAGGCAGTACATCTCTGACTTTCATCTTTGGTCGGGATTGAGATCAAAAATAAAATTTCAGTCATGAAAATCAGAAATATTAATCTCAAATCTCAACTTGATTACCTACATATGGAGGCTTTGCTGAGGTTCTTAATGCTAGCCCAAACCGAACTTTCTGCTCTCTTGCCTCTGTTCGGTTTTAAGTGCATCACTACAGGGGTGCACAGTTGGAATGCAGTCATCAATGAAAAGTAACTTTGGAGTTGGCTGTGTGTACAAAAACCCTTCCAGTTTAAAACCCTTCCAGTTTGATACACGAGCAAGATTTTCTGCACTATCCCCTGGCAAAAAAATCTGTGCTTGCTTGCTAGCTTAATGTCCTTTTGTTTAACAGAAACAGTGTGAAGCTCCAGTCTCAGAAGATACGTTTTTCAATTTACATCTGGCACCTGTTCTATCCAAAAAGTCGTTTACCCTCAATGTGGAAGAGAAGAAATCGCCAAGACCAGAAAAACCAGTGGAACAGTTTTCTCTGCTCACAGAGGTACCATAGCTGACAGTGCATTAGACAAAACAGAAGGCTGTGAAAGAGCTGCAAGGAGCTTCATTTATTAGAAATGGTTCTTAAGGCTTTTTGAAGTCTTGAGCCCTTGCATTTAACCTGTTACTGAGTGTCTGCAGCTGCGACTTCACAGTGCGAGGGTCAGCAATAAAGCTGGTTTTAAGAATTTAATATGCTTCACACACTCCTTCAGTTGTACTCACCTAAGAGTTTGGGGGGCTTCTGCTACTAGGACAAAAATTAGCCTAGGTTTAACAACTGTCTCCCAGAGCAGTGCTAACCTGATTCATGCATTTGTATTGTCTCTGCCTCTTAACCTGTCCTACCGTGATGACAGAACCAGAAAAATAAGCTTTTGCTGATCCACAGTGTTGAATTGTTTGTGGGGCACCTGAACTTTGGCTGCTTTTATTATTTGAAGCTGCAGATGTGCTGATCCAATTGAGCCCTTGCTTTTTTGCCCACTGAGGACTGACTCAAAGGGCTAGCAACTCCAGAGTTTACCAAGTCTGTAGAGGAATGCTCAGTACAAGGAAAACCGGGTGTTTTTCTTATTCTGCTAGCCCAGATCCAACCATTGCATTCCTTAAGCAGACTTAGATGGGAACATGCATATTACGACCAGTTGCATATACAACCTCGTCTCCTGGTTGCCTGACCCCAGTGTAGCTGCCTCAGTTTCCCCCTTTGCTGTTACTTCAGTTCCCTTTCAAGTCCCTTGCCTTAAAATTCTTTCGGGCACCTGACTCAGCTATCTTGGTATGGAGAATGCCTGCTGCAGTTGGCTTGAACCTCACTATTGCGAGGGCCGCAGCATCGCGTGGGAAAGGTGTGTGCTGTTCTTATGTTCATTTTTCAGGTGCTTCAGTGCATTTGCTAGTCTGTGTGTTTGAAATTGGCATCCTTTGGGAAAACAAATGAAGCAAACCTGGGCTCTAGAGTTCAAAGTTAGGATGCTGAAACAAGCCAACCAACAAAAAAGTGCTCTTGCTAACTTAAAAACCTGGCAAAGCCAGTTGCTCTGTCACCTGAGCTTAATTTACAGGCCTTGTTTCAGTTGAAAGCTGCCCACAGGTTTAGCATGCTCAGTGCTCTGTTTCACAAGTTCTTCCCCATTTTGTTGTTCCTTTCAGGCCATGGAGAGAGAGATCATGGCTGCATTTGATGAAGGTGAACCAGATGAGGTCATGAGTAGTGCCTTCAGACTAAAGATCACTCGTGAGGACATCCACACGCTAAAGAACCTTAACTGGCTAAATGATGAGGTAAAACTAGCTGCAGCACAGTGGTATTCTAATGCAGTATTTATTTTTAAAATCCACCTTTGCAGTGTACAGACGTATTTTCAAAGTTATTTGATGACCCTCAGAGCCTAGAAGTAGCAGTACAGTTCTTATTTTAGGTACTTAAGGATCTAGTGTTTCTGGAAGTTCCTTTACTTCTTGTGTAGTGCACCTTCCAGGAGTTAATCTGGGTTGGTGACAGGTGTTTTTATCAAACTGCAGAAGTAACCAAGTGCAAGATTCTCAACACAAAAGCTGACAGCTGAGAATAGAGTTCTCTCAGCTACATACTTAAGGGTGGCCAGTAAAAGACATACTGCTGTTTTTCATTTGATAAGCTACTGTCTTCTTTTACATCTCAAGTTTACTCTTTTATGGTACAGATTATTAATTTCTACATGAACCTTGTGATGGAAAGAAATAAGAAGGAAGAATATCCATCAGTCCATGCTTTTAGTACTTTCTTTTATCCCAAACTAATCTCTGAGGGCTACAGGGCAGTAAGACGATGGACCAGAGGTGTGGATCTCTTCAAGCAGGACCTCATCTTTGTGCCCGTTCACTTGAGAAGGCACTGGACGCTAGTGGTGAGTCAAACTGGCTTTATTTTATTTTTATTTTATTTTTATTTTA